ATGAGAGTCACGCACTGCCTACTGCGCAATCCAGGCTTCTATCACGAAGAGCCATATGTATTACAAAGCAATGATTAACGTCATTGATTGTTCTGAAATGACTTGTGTGCCAGCATTATGACAAGAGCGGGTTACGAAACCAAGTCTCAATCAGACACTGCGACCTGAACGCAGCAGCTTAGATTACAATAGACATGTGTTTATGTTCTTTCGCATCAGGTCTAAGTTATACGATCCGACCCGAGTTTAAGATTTGTGGGCAAAAACTATGACAGAAGTGAGATTCGAACCCACGCCTCCATCGGAGACGAAATTGGAATCAACTCCAAAAGCTAGATATCACGGTAGATATGTCTTTCTGGACTGTCGCATCAGGTCTAAAGTATTTAATGTTCCCCAAGTGAGGATTGAACTCACGACCTTGAGACTCACGCGCTGCCTACTGCGCCATCGAGGCTCCCATCAAAGCGAGCATATATATATAACAAATTCTATTTGTTTCGTCATTTATTGTTCGAAAAGGGTTTGTGTGCCAACGGTATGACAGAAGCGTGTCACAAATCCAAGTCTCAATGGAAGACTGCGACATGAACGTGGCGCCTTAGACCGCTCGGCCATTCTGCCCTGCTATGCACACAGGGTAGCAAATAAAATATAGGAATCTTATTGAAATCTTATAAACTGAAAACGAGTGAAGTAATTCAGTGTTTTAAGAAACCGAAATTGGAATCAACTCCAAATCTAGATAGCACGATAGATATGTATTTCTGGACTGTCGCATCAGGTCTAAAGTATTTAATGTTCCCCAAGTGAGGATTGAACTCACGACCTTGAGACTCGCAGCCCCCCATCACATCGGGAAATATGTTCAACAAAATCTACTATTTTTGCATTTATTGTTTTAAACAGTATGACAGAAGCGTGTCACAAATCCAAGTCTCACTAGAAGACTGCGACATGGACGCAGCGCCTTAGATTACATTAGACATGTGTTCTTTCTGTCGCATCAAGTCTAAAATAATTATATGCCTCGAGTGAGGATCGAACTCACGACCTTGAGATTATGAGACTCACGCGCTGCCTACTGCGCCATCGAGGCTCTCTTCAAAGCGAGCAATATATATAAAAATTACACTTGTTTCGTCATTCATTGTTCGAAAAGGTTTTGTGTGCCAACAGTATGACAGAAGCGTGTCACAAATCCAAGTCTCATGGAAGACTGCGACATAAACGTAGCGCCTTAGATTACATTAGACATGTGTTCTTTCTGTCGCATCAAGTCTAAAATATTTATGTGCCTCAAGTGAGGATCGAACTCACGACCTTGAGATTATGAGACTCACGCGCTGCCTACTGCGCCATCGAGGCTCCCATCAAAGCGAGCAATATATATAACAAATTCTATTTGTTTCGTCATTTATTGTTCAAAAAGAATTTGTGTGCCAACGATATGACAGATGCGTGTCACAAATCCAAGTCTCAATGGAAGACTGCGACATGAACGTAGCGTCTTATATTACATTAGACATGTGTTCTTTCTGTCGCATGAAGTCTAAAATATTTATGTGCCTCGAGTGAGGATAGAACTCACGACCTTGAGATTATGAGACTCACGCGCTGCCTACTGCGCCATCGAGGCTCCCATCAAAGCGAGCAATATATATAACAAATTCTATTTGTTTCGTCATTTATTGTTCAAAAAGAATTTGTGTGCCAACGGTATGACAGATGCGTGTCACAAATCCAAGTCTCAATGGAAGACTGCGACATGAACGTAGCGTCTTATATTACATTAGACATGTGTTCTTTCTGTCGCATGAAGTCTAAAACATTTATGTGCCTCGAGTGAGGATCGAACTCACGACCTTGAGATTACGAGACTCACGCGCTGCCTACTGCGCCATCGAGGCTCCCATCTCTCCCATCCCTCCAGACATGTGTTTATGTTCTTTCGCATCAGGTCTAAGTTATACGATCCGACCCGAGTTTAGGGATTTGTGTGCAAAATATATGACAGAAGTGGGATTCGAACCCACGCCTCCATCGGAGACTGCGACCTGAACGCAGCGCCTTAGACCGCTCGGCCATTCTGCCTTTCTATGCACACAGGGTAGCAAATAAAATATAGGAACCCTATTGAAATCTTATAAAGTGAAAACGAGTGAAGTAATTCAGTGTTTTAGGAAACCGAAATTGGAATCAACTCCAAAAGCTAGATATCACGGTAGATATGTCTTTCTGGACTGTCGCATCAGGTCTAAAGTATTTAATGTTCCCCAAGTGAGTATTGAACTCACGACCTTGAGACTCACACGCTGCCTACTGCGCCATAGAGGCCCCATCACATCGGGAAATATGTTCAACAAAATCTACTATTTTTGCATTTATTGTTTGAAAAGTATTTGTGTGCCAACAGTATGACAGAAGCGTGTCACAAATCCAAGTCTCACTAGAAGACTGCGACATGGACGCAGCGCCTTAGATTACATTAGACATGTGTTCTTTCTGTCGCATCAAGTCTAAAATAATTATATGCCTCGAGTGAGGATCGAACTCACGACCTTGAGATTATGAGACTCACGCGCTGCCTACTGCGCCATCGAGGCTCTTCAAAGCGAGCAATATATATAAAAATTACACTTGTTTCGTCATTCATTGTTCGAAAAGGTTTTGTGTGCCAACAGTATGACAGAAGCGTGTCACAAATCCAAGTCTCATGGAAGACTGCGACATAAACGTAGCGCCTTAGATTACATTAGACATGTGTTCTTTCTGTCGCATCAAGTCTAAAATATTTATGTGCCTCGAGTGAGGATCGAACTCACGACCTGAGATTATGAGACTCACGCGCTGCCTACTGCGCCATCGAGGCTCCCATCAAAGCGAGCAATATATATAAAAAATTCTATTTTTTCGTCATTTATTGTTCGAAAAGATTTGTGTGCCAACGTATGACAGATGCGTGTCACAAATCCAAGCAAGTCTCAATGGAAGACTGCGACATGAACGTAGCGTCTTATATTACATTAGACATGTGTTCTTTCTGTCGCATCAAGTCTAAAATATTTATGTGCCTCGAGTGAGGATCGAACTCACGACCTTGAGATTATGAGACTCACGCGCTGCCTACTGCGCCATCGAGGCTCCCATCAAAGCGAGCAATATATATAACAAATTCTATTTGTTTCGTCATTTATTGTTCAAAAAGAATTTGTGTGCCAACGGTATGACAGATGCGTGTCACAAATCCAAGCAAGTCTCAATGGAAGACTGCGACATGAACGTAGCGTCTTATATTACATTAGACATGTGTTCTTTCTGTCGCATGAAGTCTAAATATTTATGTGCCTCGAGTGAGGATCGAACTCACGACCTTGAGATTATGAGACTCACGCGCTGCCTACTGCGCCATCGAGGCCCCCATCATCATGTGTTTATGTTCTTTCGCATCAGGTCTAAGTTATACGATCCGACCCGAGTTTAAGGATTTGTGTGCAAAAAATATGACAGAAGTGGGATTCGAACCCACGCCTCCATCGGAGACTGCGACCTGAACGCAGCGCCTTAGACCGCTCGGCCATTCTGCCTTTCTATGCACACAGGGTAGCAAATAAAATATAGGAACCCTATTGAAATCTCATAAAGTGAAAACGAGTGAAGTAATTCAGTGTTTTAGGAAACCGAAATTGGAATCAACTCCAAAAGCTAGATATCACGGTAGATATGTCTTTCTGGACTGTCGCATCAGGTCTAAAGTATTTAATGTTCCCCAAGTGAGTATTGAACTCACGACCTTGAGACTCACACGCTGCCTACTGCGCCATAGAGGCCCCCATCACATCGGGAAATATGTTCAACAAAATCTACTATTTTTGCATTTATTGTTTGAAAAGTATTTGTGTGCCAACAGTATGACAGAAGCGTGTCACAAATCCAAGTCTCACTAGAAGACTGCGACATGGACGCAGCGCCTTAGATTACATTAGACATGTGTTCTTTCTGTCGCATCAAGTCTAAAATAATTATATGCCTCGAGTGAGGATCGAACTCACGACCTTGAGATTATGAGACTCACGCGCTGCCTACTGCGCCATCGAGGCTCCCTTCAAAGCGAGCAATATATATAAAAATTACACTTGTTTCGTCATTCATTGTTCGAAAAGTTTTGTGTGCCAACAGTATGACAGAAGCGTGTCACAAATCCAAGTCTCATTAGAAGACTGCGACATAAACGTAGCGCCTTAGATTGCATAAGACATGTGTTCTGTTCTGTCGCATCAAGTCTAAAATATTTGTGCCTCGAGTGAGGATCGAACTCACGACCTTGAGATTATGAGACTCACGCGCTGCCTACTGCGCCATCGAGGCTCCCATCAAAGCGAGCAATATATATAAAAATTCTATTTGTTTCGTCATTTATTGTTCAAAAGATTTGTGTGCCAACGTATGACAGATGCGTGTCACAAATCCAAGTCTCAATGGAAGACTGCGACATGAACGTAGCGCTTATATTACATTAGACATGTGTTCTTTCTGTCGCATGAAGTCTAAAATATTTATGTGCCTCGAGTGAGGATAGAACTCACGACCTTGAGATTATGAGACTCACGCTCTGCCTACTGCGCCATCGAGGCTCCCATCAAAGCGAGCAATATATATAACAAATTCTATTTGTTTCGTCATTTATTGTTCAAAAGAATTTGTGTGCCAACGGTATGACAGATGCGTGTCACAAATCCAAGTCTCAATGGAAGACTGCGACATGAACGTAGCGTCTTATATTACATTAGACATGTGTTCTTTCTGTCGCATGAAGTCTAAAACATTTATGTGCCTCGAGTGAGGATCGAACTCACGACCTTGAGATTACGAGACTCACGCGCTGCCTACTGCGCCATCGAGGCTCCCATCTCTCCATCCCTCCAGACATGTTTTGTTCTTTCGCATCAGGTCTAAGTTATACGATCCGACCCGAGTTTAGGATTTGTGTGCAAAATATATGACAGAAGTGGGATTCGAACCCACGCCTCCATCGGAGACTGCGACTGACGCGAACGCAGCGCCTTAGACCGCTCGGCCATTCTGCCTTTCTATGCACACAGGGTAGCAAATAAAATATAGGAACCCTATTGAAATCTTATAAAGTGAAAACGAGTGAAGTAATTCAGTGTTTTAGGAAACCGAAATTGGAATCAACTCCAAAAGCTAGATATCACGGTAGATATGTCTTTCTGGACTGTCGCATCAGGTCTAAAGTATTTAATGTTCCCCAAGTGAGTATTGAACTCACGACCTTGAGACTCACACGCTGCCTACTGCGCCATAGAGGCCCCCATCACATCGGGAAATATGATCAACAAAATCTACTATTTTTGCATTTATTGTTTGAAAAGTATTTGTGTGCCAACAGTATGACAGAAGCGTGTCACAAATCCAAGTCTCACTAGAAGACTGCGACATGGACGCAGCGCCTTAGATTACATTAGACATGTGTTCTTTCTGTCGCATCAAGTCTAAAATAATTATATGCCTCGAGTGAGGATCGAACTCACGACCTTGAGATTATGAGACTCACGCGCTGCCTACTGCGCCATCGAGGCTCCCTTCAAAGCGAGCAATATATATAAAAATTACACTTGTTTCGTCATTCATTGTTCGAAAAGGATTTGTGTGCCAACAGTATGACAGAAGCGTGTCACAAATCCAAGTCTCAATGGAAGACTGCGACATAAACGTAGCGCCTTAGATTACATTAGACATGTGTTCTTTCTGTCACATCAAGTCTAAAAACCTTGAGATTATGAGACTCACGCGCTGCCTACTGCGCAATCGAGGATGCTATCACGAAGAGCAATATATCTAACAAAATCAATTATTAACGTCAATAATTGTTCTGAAATGACTTGTGTGCCAAAAGTATGACAGAAGCGTGTCACAAATCCAAGTCTCAATCAGAGACTGCGACATGAACGCAGCGCGTTAGATTACATAAGACATGTGTTCTTTTTGTCGCATCAAGTCTAAAATATTTATGTGCTTCGAGTGAGGATCGAACTCACTTGAGATTATGAGACTCACGCGCTGCCTACTGCGCCATCGAGGCTCCCATCAAAGCGAGCAATATATATATATATAACAAATTGTATTTGTTTTGTCATTCATTGTTCGAAAAGGATTTGTGTGCCAACAGTATGACAGAAGCGTGTAACAAATCCAAGTCTCAATGGAAGACTGCGACATAAACGTAGCGCCTTAGATTACATTAGACATGTTTTCTTTCTGTCACATCAAGTCTAAAAACCTTGAGATTATGAGACTCACGCGCTGCCTACTGCGCAATCGAGGCTGCTATCACGAAGAGCAATATATCTAACAAAATCAATTATTAACGTCAATAATTGTTCTGAAATGACTTGTGTGCCAAAAGTATGACAGAAGCGTGTCACAAATCCAAGTCTTAATCAGAGACTGCGACATGAACGCAGCGCGTTAGATTACATAAGACATGTGTTCTTTTTGTCGCATCAAGTCTAAAATATTTATGTGCTTCGAGTGAGGATCGAACTCACTTGAGATTATGAGACTCACGCGCTGCCTACTGCGCCATCGAGGCTCCCATCAAAGCGAGCAATATATATATATATAACAAATTGTATTTGTTTTGTCATTCATTGTTCGAAAAGGATTTGTGTGCCAACGGTATGACAGAAGCGTGTAACAAATCCAAGTCTCAATGGAAGACTGCGACATAAATGTAGCGCCTTAGATTACATTAGACATGTGTTCTGTTCTGTCACATAAAGTCTAAAAACCTTGAGATTATGAGACTTACGCACTGCCTACTGCGCCATCGAGACTCCTATCACGACCAATTTAAATAACACAATCAATTATTACGTCATTAATTGTTTTGAAATGACTTGTGTGCCACCATCCTGACAGGAGCGGGTTACAAACCCAAGTCTCAATCGGAGACTGCGACCTGAACGCAGCAGCTTAGATTACAATAGACATGTGTTTATGTTCTTTCGCATCAGGTCTAAGTTATACGATCCGACCCGAGTTTAAAGGATTTGTGTGCAACAAATAAGACAGAAGTGGGATTCGAACCCACGCCTTCATTGGAGACTGCGACTTTGACGCAGAGTCTTAAACCGCTAGGCTATTTTGTCTTGTAACACATGCATTGTAGCAAACAAAATATAGAAACCTTAGTGAAATCTTTTATAGTGAAAACGAGTGAAGTAGTTCATTATTTTAAAAGACCGGGATTGGAATCAACTCCAAAAGCTAGATATCACGATGGATATGTGTTTTTGAAATGTCGCATCAGGTTTAAAATATTTGACCTGCCCCGAGTGAGGATCGAACTCACGACCTTTAGCTTATGAGACTCTGAACTGAAATGACTTGTGTGACACCATTATTACAGAAGCGGATTACGAATACAAGTCTCAATCGGAGACTGCGACCTGAAAGCAGGGGCTTAGATTACATTAGACATGTGTGTATGTTATTTGGCACTTGGCACCAGGTCTAAGATACATGATCCGACCCGAGTTATATCACGACAGATATGTGATTCTGGACTGTCGCATCAGGTCTAAAATATTTGATCTGCCCCGAGCGAGGATCGAACTCACGACCTAGAGATAATGAGACTCATGTGCAGCCTACTGCGCAATCGAGGCTTCGATCGCAGCGAGCAATATGAATATATAACAAAATCTGGTATTTACGTCATTTATTGTTCGAAAAGGTTTTGTGTGCCAACAGTATGACAGAGGAGCGTCACAAATCCAAGTCTCCAACAAAATCTATTATTCTTGCATTTATTGTTTAAAAAGGATTTGTGTGCCAACAGTATGACAGAAGCGTGTCACAAATCCAAGTCGCAATCGAAGACTTTTCGCCATCGCACTTTCCTCGGGGGAATTATGTGGGGGTTGGGAAGGAATTTTGCCTTGCAATTACTTCTATTTATTCCTAAATTCTCTGTGAATCCTATGAGATCTAATACTTCATCCAAAATTTCGCTGTATCACTTTTAATTATGAGACCACGGTTTTTAATCCACCAAGCGTGACGGCTGATTTCGCAAATTGTTGCTCCTAGAAAATCGGAAGTTTTTTGAGGTTATGGTACCGATAACGCTAAATGTAAAGTAAACTACGGTACTCCATTGCTTGGTTTCAAAATATTTGTAGACTGTGATATCTGCCGTTATAATACCGGCCATCAACTGTCCGGATCATCTTGCAATTTCAGGATGGCACAAGACAGGAACTGGTAAAGTGAGGGCTGTTGGAGTTCCGGTGCCGTGACACAGTTTGAAATTAAGTCTTTTTTTTTTGACAAGTTACACTTCCCTAACTAGACCATTGTTGTACTATAAACATGAAACATATAAAAGATTCCAGTTCAATTATCCGTACCGTAAAAGTGCCTTCGGACAACTTCGGACGGTTCCTAACTTCGGACAAAAATTTTAAACAGTCATATCTCGGCTAAAAAACGCATTATTCCGCCAGTTTTAATTTTATGGCTAGCGCTGTTACGTGTACTCCTTAACTTTTTAATTTAGCATAATCCTTTTTTTTATTAAAAAATGGAATTAATGCCAAAATGACTACCCGCTATTCAACGGCGCTTCGACTGAGGCTATCATCGTCAAAATACCATCATTCGGTAGAGGGCGATAACAATGTATTCAATTCATCAGAGTGATGGCAAGATGTCGTACAAGATTTAACTAAAACCTAAAATTCCGAATTGTAAATACCGTCAAAATATTGAAATTCACGATGCGTCAAAAGTTACGTCAGCCTCACATAGATCATTTTTTGCTCTTCTTTGAGACGACGTCACTCTGCGTCGCGGAAAAGAGTTTTGACGCCCGACACAACAGCGCCAAATTGCCAATTTTCATTCAGATAAGGACTGCGTTCCGGTGCAATATTTTTGTATTTTGTTCGGTCCATAAGTGAATATATGCCAAAACTAAATTAATGAGAATACATGTCTTATCTGATCGTTGACGTCAAATATCGAATCTATGATAATTTCAACGTTCATATGCCACTGTATACTGACGTAACAACATTTTGTGCTTGAAGTCGAAATGACAGTTATTGATCGTTTCAATTTTATGTTGTTGTTCTTGTTCATCAACATTACAAAATCGCTTTTCTCTTCGAATACTTAATCGATTGCTTTGAATTTTCCGATTGATTTTTCCGCCAGAAGACTATTGCTTTTACTTATTTCAAAAATTTCTGTGGACTTCCAGAGATTCCTTTTTTTATTAGTCAGAATAGTAAAGAGCGACACTGTGTGACGTGTCCATATATTTGAGTATAGCTCTCTTGTACCCATAATACCACATTGTAAACTACTTGAACTGTACAAAAGCGGGAGTGCGACTTACACATGACAATTTCTACCGAGCTAAGAATCCATTAAATATTGGGGATTAGTTTGAAATATTTTACTGTTAGGCTCTAATTTTAAGTACTGGGATTAATATAAAATCCTATTTTAATGAAGCCCTTTAATTCAGTATGAAAAAGAAGTTTTTTATCACTGATTTTTGTGTCTACCGTTTGTTTGATTTTTTGTGCATATTCCAATTACTCCTACAATAACAATCAATCGTGTTAGTCGGTACCACATCGTAAGCATAATATTTTTCAATTAAAATAATTTTTTTTTTTAATGCAACTTTTTCTATATGCCTATAATCTCATGTTCATCATTGAAATAGTTAACTTAATTGAAATTTGAGGGTCCTTATTCTCAAATATGCATTTATTTTGTCGGAAGTAGTGAGTAATACGTCAAAGTAAATTCTCGTCTGAAAACCGTCAATTTAAATTTCATGTATTTTATATTCCTCAAGTGTAATCAAGTGTAACGCAAATGAAATGACATGTTAAGTTTTTCGTCTCAATGAAAAATAGTAGAAATTGTGCCAAGATTTGTAAGCAATATGAAAATGATTTACAATGTAAGAATCAAAATCTTTTATTTTTAAAGATTTTTTCAAATTCTCAAATGTGCGATTGTATTTTTTCAAATGAGTGGGAATTTCGAATGAATAGTCCGCAGCTGTAGCAACCTTGGATTTTTCCACTGTAGATATTTACAATGTATTAATCAAAACCTTTTATTTGAATATTTTTTTCAAATTCCCAAATATGCAATTAATTTTTTTTTAATGAGGTTAAATTTTAAATGATTAGTTAGCACTAGCAGCTGTAGCAACTTCAAAAAATTTTCCACTGTAGATATTTCATGTGTATACTTTTAATCTGATGTATGTAAAATCTGATGTAAAATAAAGGTTCAAATTTTCGCCTGCGTTTGTAATAATGTTCGTAAATCTATTTCAGTGATTACCAGATTCTTGTGGTGCAACACTGTACTGATCAAAACCTATTATTTAATTTTTTCTTCAATTCTCGAATAAGCAATTATATTTTGTTAAGTGCAGGGCAATGTTATGGACTCTATTATCTGATTTGAATTCTATAGATTATGTATTTTAATTGAGTAGTAATCAACATTATATTGAAATTTATCATTGTAAAATCACTGTTTCAATCTGATATATTCAATATTAAAAATACTTGTGTAGGTACAAGTGTTATTGAGTCTACTTGTGTCAGTATTGCTTTCAGAATAAACTTGGTATAATAACCAGGCAGAAATACAATAAATAAACCATGTATACATCAGAGACGTCTAGTCTTATTTTCATTTCCTTTTGTAATGAAGCTAAAAGGACGCCTGCGACTCTGTTGTGAATAGAAGAGGTGTTATGCTCGTTTTTGATCTTTGTACACATTTCCATAACGAGTCTCTATTTTACACGTTTGCCTATGATCATTAGAACATGACGAATCACTGTTTTATTATTTTTTTATATGCCTGAGTATTCAGTTCCCAATAACGTGTTATATTGATTACACACAGACGGCTATGTATGGGTTTAAACGTATATCGTGAGTCTGCACCAGTGTTTACCCTATTCAGTCCCGAACCAGAGCAAATTAAATCGCGGCAAACTCAGACACGAGATTTGAATAAACTCTTATTTTATCAAGATTTGTATACTGTTTTAGGTTACTACAAAAATATCATTTTTAATAATATGAGTGTAGTGTTGATATGATTCTTTAGAAAAGTCTTGAAAGATTGCGTGAAATTTAATCCAATATATATAGCAAATCCTGCTAGTGGAGGCCTGAGGTGCGGCCAAGGACGTTTAACTTGTGACCCAGAATTTTAATTGTTTATTGTCGGTCTATATTCTTATCAATAGAATTTAGAAAAAGACTTTTCATACCGGTATATTTTTGGGAGAACTTCTGTCGTAGTTAATTCACTGACACTCATTTTATTTTTCTTTCAACTCGAAAAACCATAAGTATCGCGGTATTTCTATAAAGTACCTTTCGACACGCGACAATTATTCACGAAAGCGGTCTTGAACAAACTAAAATTTGATGTTTGCTTCATTTTGATATACAGGGTGTCCCCAAAGTCCCTTTACAATTTCAATTTTGTTATAAAGTCGGTTCTCAATATATCTTAACCAAGTTTGTTGTTTTTAATCAGTAGTTGTTTAAGCAATTTTACTTCAATTTTAAATCAATACATCTGTGAGGGCCAAAACAATGTATGGTAACGATAAATTATCTTTGCAATTTAAAAAAATTAGAATTTTATAGACCCCCTATAGTTCTGCTTCGGACATCTGGCTTATCAAATCTGAAGCAACAACATACTATTATGTAAAATGAGCAACTAGAACAGTTACTTGACTTTGATATATTTTCAAATACTAGTGATGCGCAGAGTCGAAGTTTGACATGTTTTTTATTGATATTGAAGTTGGGCAAGGGTTTGTATTTTTAAACTTCCCGGAGTCGGGAGTTAATTGCGATATATCTGTAAGACATTACTTGTTGAGACGGTTGCTATTGAAGTGAAGATGTGAATACCACAAACAGATGTTCGGAACAGTATCTATGACTCAAGGTACCCGCGATAAAGACGCAAAAGATTAACATGTTTTTGTGCAATATTTACATTTTTATTAATCACTTTGCAACGAACATTTACCGTCAGAAAGATTCTCTACTCATTTAATAAAGTAACAATGGTTGTTAATGCAACAAAAATAAACTTAGTAGACTGGAAAAGATATAACAGTTGTTGATGGAAACCGGAAACTTTCATTTCAAAATATCCGGTATTTATCTCAATTACTGACTTTAAACAACCGAACGACGTAAAATTATGATCAATCTTGTGAAAGTTGGATGGTTGCCAAATTCAGTTAGCTTTAATAATTATTGGTTTTAACGTTGTTGGTATTTCATGTTATATTATACATCTTGAGTAAATTCCACGTCCACACAAACGGCTTTTAAACTATAAATTGAGGTCGTAACTATATGATCTTCCTATTCAGGTCACAGGTGTGGATGCCTTTAAAGGGCTTTGTTCAAAGTGAAGGCGTATAGAAATTGCTTATCAAATTCTAGAAAAATTGTCAAACTCTTACCCACAAGTTTTCAATAGTCACCAATCGAAAAAGTAATTGGAGATAATTGAGAGCTTTCAGGTATTTGTCGTTTATAACTCTTTAATTACATACACACATTTTGAATTTGGTGGTCAGTTGATAGTAGGCATTCAAATGTAATAAACAAATGACAAGAGTTAAATCTATCTAATAATTGGAAATTATTGAGCATTGTTAAACTGGAGAGAGAATCGGGGAAAACCATAACGAAATTATCAAAAAGGAGTTACCCAGACTACTAACTACCTGTACTCAATGCTGAAAAATCAATTAGCATGTATAAAGTTTGGGAGGGGAGGTATTCCGAGTAACAATTAGTTAAACTAGTAGCAATGACCACCTTTGCAAGATGAACTTATTTTATTAAATTCAAACCAGCCATTCTCAAACGTTATTGTATATATACTATATGATTTAAATTGAAGTTGTAAAAAATGTCACCAAGTCAACTTCGAATTGTGAGGCGCTATGACAATACATTCCTATATTGCAAAACTTTGTTTCTTTCAACGTACCATGTGTTACTTAATTATAGGCTCGCTATGCGAGAAAATATTTAAAATATATGAACCATGGTAATATAGAGAAAATTCCATTATTTTTTACATCGGTTATAGCAGTTTCCATAGGTTCTGAGATTTTAACCCATGCATTCTAATTTGCCGAGAGTGTGCCATCCATTTTCTCCCTTATTGCCCATGTCGCCGAATCTTATTTCTTTGACCGGTAACTTGGTCTTGGCGGTCAGGAATCCTTCGTCTGCCCTGATGGTGCCGTCGTTCTTATCGCAATTGCATTTCCATGCGTTGTCAGCACATTGGCCTTGAAATATAAAACAAGCTGATTTACGTTTAATGATTTCAAAATACAGATGAGTAGACCGTCAGCCAGACTATCGCGTGAATTCGCGACTTGTGTTCCATTCCAGTGTGAATGGTTCTTTCCGCCTTATAAACGATTGGCAAATCAAAGAAAAGCTTCGGGCTTCCGCGATGTATCGTCAATTGAGCACAAAGCGTACCTTTCATCCCAAACACACGAACACACATGAATAAAAATAAATTGGCTGCGCATTACATCACTCGGATATCTGTATAGGTAATTAAAATTTATGCATACAGAATCGAATTTGCCATGAGACGTGGAACGCTCGTTTTTGAAATGTAAAAGCTTGTTCCAAAAAAAAACGGTTTGAAATTTTACAAAACTAATATTTGGGTAATTTTTAATCAAGTTAATAATTCCCAAATATTCACCTTTAAAAATGTTGAAAATTAAATGCGATTGAATAAATTGATTTGTCTGAAGTTAAAAAAACTCACCGCTTAAACTTTAAAAAAATATACTAAATTAATTAAATTAATTGAACTTGGAAAAAAAGAAAAAAAAATCGATATATAGCCGTACCTCTTTATCTAGACAACAACAAATTGAAGAATTATTGTATTTTTTACTATTACGAATATTTTTCTTATAGAATCGTTTATTTCCACATGGACTGATAATTTTATTCACCAGTATTTATTCATGTCATGCCCATGTCACCCTATGCGACTAGAACCGGTATTGCGTCGTCGAGTTTTCCCGAGCGATGGCGTTTTATTATTGACTTATGTTTATTAGTGCCTTCAAATTCAACTATGCAATCTACTTGGGTGATTAGCGTACGTGTCTTGCTTTTCATTGAAATTTCGTATATGACGCAATTTGAAATTTTATTTAAGCCATCATATTACATTTTACATGACCGTAAACATTATACAATGACGTCATAATAAATGATTTATGGCGTCATGATTAAAGGAGGATCTCACATTTATCAAAACCTTTCTCATCGTCCAAATCCGAGCTGCCTGTATATGAATGTAGCAGAAGCCCCACATGGATATTCAAATGACTATATATGAGTTGGCTGTATATGTATATTGTTGTCTGTATTATTGGAACTATATGACGTCAACAAAGTAGAATTCAAGACGGCCAAAAGCCAGTGACGTTACCTGTCTCTCCACAAGCGCAATAATAATTTATCTTGGAAATTGCTCCACCCCAATACATCATCTTCTCTCCATCTCGTGAAACCCACCAGGCATAAGGATTAGTTCGAAATAAGACCATGCCTTGACAACGGGCCTATTTGAAAAGAAGAATAGATTCGGTTAATTAACTGTGGCATTCAAGTTTTTGTATTGTGTTTGTACGGTTCTAGGATAATTCGTTGCAGAAAAATTCGCCGTAGGAAATCTCGCAGAGGGAAATTTCGCCGCATGGAAAATCGCCTTCTGTAAAAAGGATCCTTCCTAAAAAACATATCCTAACCCTATAATCCCAACTGTTTTTTATCGCAAATACTTGTTTTACAGCAATATGCTCTAGCGATTTTTTCTATGCGGCGAAATTTCCTTAGGCGAGATTGCCTACGGTGAAATTTCCTGCGGCGAATTTTCCGGGCACGTGTTTGTACAAGTAGTATGTAGATCTAATGAACCACCGCACAAGAAAGTATCTAATTTGGGTATAGCTGGGAAGAAGATATTTTGATGTGAAAACACACCTATCATTGCGACTAGTGTAAATTATAATTACTCGGAACTGCTCCAGAACTTTAAAAATGCCAAATGATTTTTCAGCAGTGAGTACACGTAGTTAGTAATCTAAAATAAAATATTTCAGTGAGTTTTAATGATTTTATTACTATGGTTTTCCCCGTTTTCTCTTCAGTCTAATACCGCTCAAACCTATATGAGCTCTTATATAGGAAAGAATCTTTGTGTGAATGACCTGCTGTGGTTACAAGGTTTGACTCCAATTCCAGAATAAAAAACTCTGGAACTCTGGAATAGTAAAATTTGACTCCGAAACAAAAAAAATTTGACCTTACAAAACCTCTAAATACTTGAAACATCTGTTTCTGGCTTTAAACAGTAAAATTGTCTATATTGGCTCCAGTCTCATACTTCGACTAACTAACACTGTTCGCTCGGCGAGTTGGGTATTACGTGAAATGCCTCAGTGTTTTGATTTACGGGCTAATTCTTGAATACTTAAGCAGCGGATTTTCAAAAATGCGCACTAAATGCGCTTTGCGGAAACAGATCAACACCAATGTCCTCCCGTTAGTGGTCACGAGATAACAATGCACGATATTATTAACACAACGGTTTATTGAGAACTTTATATATAGTTACCCACAAAAACAACAGGTTGATAATATATATTTTGATCCATTGAAATAAAACATATTCCAGTAAGTCAATTTTCCATTACGCTGCCCGAGTGTTTATATGTATGTTTGTGTACATCAGGGGTCGGCAACCTACGGAGTAATATAATCCGGCCCTCAACGCTTCACTGAATATAGTAACGAAACAGCCGTTTCGACGATTATATTCTTTAGGTAACAGCATTTATTGCGAGACACGCGTAGACTAAATTATATTATAATCTAACAAGTATAAAATTCACAATTACTCGTTTGATGAGCCTATAATTTAAATATAATTAACACATGGCAACAAAACGCATAAAAGTCGATGCTAAGTGTAAAGGGTTCAATGGCGCCAAAAATATTCAAATGGAATTTTTTGAGATGCAATAATTCACTGCTTGATTTTTATTATAAAAAGTATTATCCGTTCGGTTTTCATCTTTCTAAAAATATGTGCGGCCCGCCAATGACTTGCAATTGCAACCCTTGATTTTGGCTAGCGAGTAACAAAAGGTTGCCGACCCCTGGTGTACACGGTAATTGATCCTTCGTAATAAAAAAGTGTTTTGTGGAGATAGGGGGTAGGGGCATCCAAAACTTTGTCAAAAACGCATCTTGATAATAATCAAAGTTGCAAACCTTAATATATTGCCGACATTCCCTTGAGTTCTCTATGATTTTAATCGTATAATTCAGGCTGATTGTATACCGAGGAATCTTGGAGTAGCATCCACGATCTTCGCAGTTTGTCATCTTCACCTCATTCATGGAATCATGTCGAATTTCAGTGATTGCTGTGAATGTAATATAAAATAGTTAACGATAAGTCTTCTACTTTCTAGGTAAAGCTTTCAACTTTTTGTGAGACTTTCAATAAAATATATCGTCAGAATTAATTAAATTTTCTCAGCTTCAAATGAAACGTTTTCTCGGTTCAGTGAAATCTTGTTTTGAGTAAAAATAATAGCAAATTAGACGTTCGAAATGAATTCCGTCTAACCATGGTCATGAACTCATTCCATATCTCAGTGTTTGCTGGGAATACGACAGTATAATATTCATTGGGTAATATTCATTGGTTTTGAATTTTTGTTCGAAACAGAGCTCTGACTGTGTTTCAAAGCGATCCCAAATTCCAGTTTTCGTTGGTAATATGAAGGCTCAACAATTGCTTTAAAGATTTTGGCTTTTACGCTCCAAACAAGGCTTTACATAAGTAAACTGAGTATACTACTATCACTGAACCTCATAGCATTGTGAAAATGCATCAGTAAATTACCACAAATCGACAAACGTACCATCCGATCCAGAAAAGTCACAATGAACCTCATATTGGTTGTTGGCTGACCCAAGAAGGTATTTCCCAGACGTCTCAATTTCGGCTCTTTCCTGAAGTTGCTTGCACGTAAAAACATCTGTTGTAACAAAAGAGATCTTTTAGCATGGAACGTTTTGACAATAATCGCTGGTAAAAACCCATGCCCACCACCTCACTTATAATATGTATTTGGGGCAAGCAAGTAAGGAATAAAAAAGATTCGTTTTCCTTTTAAAAAATTTAATCATACTACTTATAATCTTATATAACTACTTATTATTGTTTGTTCTGAACATCGTTGTTACGCTCATGCAATATCACACCGCATATTGAGTTAAAAAATGGTACCTGAGCAGTAATGGTATTTCGGTTGCTCACTTGAGGTCATTCTTAGACGATAAAACCCGGATGTTGAAATACCGTACCGCAATATGAACTCTTTACAATTGGATACGCCTGAAAATTAAAAAAGAGGTTACGAATATTTCCAACGTCTCTATTTAAAGATATCCATAAATATCTTATGGATTCAAGAGCTTTGCGTCCCAACACACAATGTATTTCGAGAAGATTCGCACAGCGAGCTCAGGCTTCTTCAAACAAGCATATAAACAAGACAAGCAATGAAATGCCTGACATAGAGATTAGTAGTTAGTTGCGCCTAACCAAAGATGATAGTTGAATAAATGGTTTTATAAGTATTTGGTTTGATAAAAAAAAGGGGAACATGAAAAGGTTTTACTTAGAACAAAGCCAAATCAGCGAAGACGTGATAACTTTCGCATTTTTTAAAATACCGTATTTTACGTGTCCCTAGGCCATTGGTGGGCAATCTTTTCGGCTGCACGTGCCAAAATCGACAACATTTAATGACAAAATTCTTTCGCGTGCCGACCAAAATTGTCGAGAGCACACTCTGTTGTTACGTCGTAATATATTTCTTGAAGCCATATGTCACGGAAAGGCCAAAAAGAATTAAATATAAGGAAATAATGAATGAACAAACACCGAGTTTTCTCAACATAATTAAATGTGTCGAAATCGTCTGTAGTCTTCCGAAATCTTGAAAGGTAAGAATGTTTCTGAATAAAAATGAATTCTCACATACCGTCATAAATCTGAAGTCGCAGTAAACAGAGACCAGAACTCCGGTACCAATCGTTCTCAATGGGGTAATATCCGGTTGTTGAAACTCTGTGAATTTCGTTCAGTTCCTTGCAGCTTGTTGCACCTAAATAACAGAGATATTCTGATAACAATAAGTGCGAAATAGAATTTTTCCATGAAAATCTTCAGAACTAGGGAAACGTAGTGTGACGTCACCAGTGACCCCCAAAACTATTATTGTCAACATTATACCATTTGTTGTGTTGGAGAGTTTCAAAGTCATCTGTTCGAGAATGACTCGACAACGGGATTTGACTTAACATCCCATAGACAACTCGACTTTAGATTTGAAAACAATTTGGGCGAGTTTTTAAAAAAGGAGAAAAATATCTTGACAAAGGTAAGATTTTGACATGTGCCGAAATGCTGTGCTTTAAAAAAATATGGAAATTCATCATCTTTGATGCCAGCAATAACTCATAACCTTGATGTATACCGATGTAAATGTTGTTGACTATCACGATTGATTTTCTATTTCAATTTTCATAAATAACAGTTGCCAATAACGGAAGGTGGACGTTCCCTTGGTGTTCGTGTCCAATATTGACTCATGATTAATCCAATTCACTGTTTATTTACTAAATCTTTCTTGGACTCTGGACTCGACTTGTTACTCGAGCTTAACATTTGCTACCGCTCATACTTGGCTCTAGCTTTGAAGGGCCCGTGACTCTACTTGACTTGCGACTTCTACCCAACACTGAGTTGAACTACACCGAAAGGCCAAAGTCAGTAAAAAGCATGATCGGTCATGGCGCAACATTCTAGATTAGATTATGTCGTCAACGTACACATCTGGGGCGCAATATATGATTTCACAAGTAGAGGTAATTCTATACCAACGCACAGTTGTGCGTCGTGTCGGATTCGGAGGGTTTGGGGTTCGGTTTGAATCAGAAGACAAAAACTTTATTCAAAGCATGGTCCGAAATTTTAAATTATAGCAGAAACATTAAAGCAGATGAACCCCGTGCCAAAGATGATGAATGCTATTTAATTCAGTTTGAATTTGGGTTTGAATTACAAAACAAAAATTGTATTCAGAAATTTTCAATTTTCCATATTGTATGTTGTATTACTGTCCATGTCCATGTTGTATTACTGTTATCGAGCGGGTTTCAATTCCAAAATAACACCAGCTCACTTGCAACTATGTCCGGAGTTATTAGGCGCCCTTTTAAAACAGCTATTTGTTACAAGTGTTCGGCAATGGATATTTTCTTTCTGTGTTTACATATAAACACATCTACATGCACACATCCCTGTTTGTATTCACAACAATGAAGTCGGCTACGGTAATCCACGATGAGCCCATCATGTCTGGCCAATCGAAACAAATATATACTAGGGAGTGAACAGAATAAGAAAAAATAAAAAATTCAAATCTCATGTCGCATTTTTTTTTTAATCAGTTGGACATACTCCAAAGTGGCCAAATAAATCAAAATTTCAGTAGGAAATTTATTATATATCTACGCTAAAATCATTTGCAAGCGTGTCGAGATCACTTTAAAAGGGCAAATAATTTTTTTTCGCCTAAATATGCCAGCGATATTTGTCTTGATTTTTCGTTCGAAAGATTCAATACTCGTCGGCCATCCTATCCGAAAAAAGAGACCACGATTATTCGATTTGTGTCACTTCGTTCGCGCATTATATTCATTAGATTGGCAGAAATACCCTAACTTGATAACTGTATATTAACAAAAAATTTCGAACAAGCTCCATCGTAAACTTGATTTCCAAAATTGCGCTTCTGATTTTGGAATTGAAAATATTGAATAACAGAAATGTTTGCATGTGATTGCTTGATTTATGTGAGATTTAACACGGATTTTCTGTAATTGTTATACGTTTATCGATAACTCGAAGTACTGAAATATCCTATTCAATAAACAAATGACGTCATCAGAATGATGTATACTGGTTTTAAAAACCCTATGATCTCTAAAGTCCGAGTATCGTGAGGAGAGGCTGTTCATCTCACGTCTTACATGTATGAATAGCGTCGCGGCCATTTTTGAACAGACAGGTAAGGAAAATATGAAAATAAGCTCACTCATCATGTTTTGAATTCTCACGTAATCCGGCGCGTCTCCTTTTGCTCCTTTAATACCTTGAGGTCCCACTGGCCCAGTACCACCGGGGTCACCTTTGGGGCCAAGTTTCCCGGGCGGGCCTGAACGTCTAAGGTGTTGAGAGGCTCTTTCATTATTAACAGGAGCGTCAGACCCGCAGTTGACTTGAACTACGTTGCATGAATCCCCTCCTTTTGACGGAAACGGCACCGAATGCTGGGCGACGACAATTATAGTTGTAATGTAGCAAATTATTAACAATATGAGCACCATGGATTTTTCCATCGTATAAGATTAGTAATTAATGATCTGTGAAATACGTTGTACAAAGTTAAAAATTACTCGAATGAAAAAAGTGTTTGAAAAATAATAAAAATATTTTTGATTATCGAAACTCATATATCTTCACTGAATTCTAAATGACGTGCTCTAGGTATTTACCACGGATAAGGTTAATACTTTCCATCGGGTGTCAGGAACTAAATATTACTGAATTGTGGAAAATAGTTATATTTTTGTTAAAAAATTCTCTGAAACTTAAGACTTGGATTGCAAGTCTTAGAAATTACTTATAAAAATATATGACTTTGCACCCTCGATAGTCATCCCGACCCCTCACCTATTCACTGCATGGCGTAAAATATTATTCGTAATTCGCAACTCAATATATATAAACTATGAATGAGAAGCTCGGTTATTTCAAGCAAAATATTACTCATATACTTCTCTTCTTTTATCTGTGCTGCTTTCTTTAATGATGAAATAAACTACTGATTACTGGCGCATCATGATTTTAAGCAACCTATGCAGATCCTAGCGTTTTGAGCACATTTTTTAAATACGCCCATATGAGCCTAAATACCTCATTTAGACAGCCGATAAAAAAAAATGAGCAGGGCGAAACGGCGCTTGCGTCATTTTTAAGAAATGAACATTTCTCCTTATCATAATTTTTTGTGTTTTAAGGCCAGTGTGTGTGTGTGTGTGTGTGTGTGTTTCAACTAACAAACGACTCAATTTGATGCATACTCAAGGTGTTTTTAACAAAAAGATACACACAACTCAATTCAAGCCAGACATCGCTAGTTATTTTAAATTAAAGTCCTACGTGACACCGGTTTGCCTGCCCTAAATAGCCCACTTTTTTTGAATCAATCGTTGAAATTATGCATAGAAGTGAACAAGTCTTTTACGGGAAATTGGCATACCCACTTGATGTTCTAACAAACTGCTACTCCCATGCATGCACCTATTGAAAAATATGAGATCTGCTGTCAAAAACAAAAGGATGGTTTAAGAAACGCTCAACATCAGATCATGTATGAAAAATTGTATTATAAATGTTTATGCAAACGGCGTCAATCAATCATGGCCATATTATTCAGGAAACGGTTGTAAGTAACCGGTTATATTTTTATTATGCATGAAAATGTTTTTTTTTTCACGTTCCATACCATTTATATTCTACCAAATGTTACTGGTTTCAACCGACGGAATTTTCTCAAAGTACACTGAGTCAACCAAACGAATATTGGATCATTTGTACAAAGCCCCCGTCACTTGTGAAAAAATGTGAGAGTTGAGAAAAACACCGTCGCCGTTCGGGTAGGGCATGATTTGAAAATTTAAATTTTCAGGGCAATCTGCATTACTAACCGTAACGCTAACTGGATAATTACCTCATAATTTTCTTATTTTTGAGCTTTGGCGGGGTTGATAATTTATTTATTTTTGGCGAGGGGCTTTGTACGAAAGATCATAAAAACTATGACTTGCCCCAAATTGAATTTTAAAACCCATACCATAAGCAATCATGCTTGTCCAAGTACTGACTGAGTCAGAATATGACAATCGATTGTAGGTAGATCGCGTGACAATCACACAACAATCTTTCAACACACGCGAGGCAAAAAGCTTCCTGCGACAGAACGAGAGAAACTACGCAAACGCATCGGTATTACGTTCCATGTGAATACAACAAGACAATACAAACGATTCCATTGTGAACATACCTGAGTTAGACCTTTGAATTGAAGTCTTTCATAGCACTTGAACCCGCTCTGCTGACCTTTACCTTGCCTGAATTTTCAAATCAAATTAAGACCTAATCGTCGAAATTATGTAGTAAACAATTCAGTCTTTTACGGGGAATAAAATTTCTACTTGATGTCTAACTAACTGCCCAAGCACGAACTAATTAAAAAAAAAGAATTCTTTGATTCGGCTTTGTTGGCCAAACCACGGGCATCGAATAAACGTGAGATCTGCTAATAGGAACAGATAGTGTTTTCGAGGGAGACTCGGCTTAAATCGCTTTAATGAACTTGTATTACAGGCCACCATGTATGCTTAAAGTATACTATTCACGGAAATAGACAAATAGTTTATATCGCTATTTTTTCTAATACGGCTGACGTTGATTACAAACTTTCCAACAATTTTTTTTTGAAAATTCTGTTCCAGCAGCCCATCATGGTAGAGAGAAAAGCAATTATCGCCTTTTCGCACCATCACGCGGAAAAAGGCCTAAAATCCATTTGTAACTCGCGTTTGAACGGGGAGAAAAATATATTTTATAAAAAATGTCAAATGATTTCGATCCGTCTGCATCATTGGGAAGCACTTGAGAAGTGGCGGTTACTTTCTGTAACTTTTGTTTGCGGTACCAAGTTGGATAGTCAAACGAGAAACAGTTACCGTGGTGGACAATGCTTTATGACGATGTTCTCGAATTTCATAAACTTTCAATTTCCGTGTACATCGACGGCCAATCCCATATTACCATGCTGAACCCAACCCATTTACCCACGAGGTATTATTTAATGAACAGCTAAGTGGGATTGCATTGCATCAACTGATTGCTCAATTGTTTTCACTCAATTGTTTTCTATTCCGCCAACAGTTACGCAATTAAAGGCAGAAAGTAGTTGAGTGATAACTGTGTGCACCCTCAGTGTTACGTTTGTTGTCGAAGAGGCCTTGACAAATAATAAAAATCAGTGAACCGCTGCCCACTAGCGGTGATATATCAGGGGTCTAATTCAGAGCCCCTGAATTCAAAAGCGGAGTTGTACAATATTAATGAACCCAGTAACGATGTCTTTAAATGTTCATTTTGTGAAGCCTTCTCTTTTGGACATTATACACTTACGGGTAACTGAATATTCTCAGACTAGGAAAAGATTGTGGAACGCAACATGTACTAGGAAGTTTATAAAAAATTCATGCCCTAAAATTACAATTTGCGGAACCGCCCACTTTCCTGGAATGGGCTTGAGCCACCACAAAGTTTTACTAGAAAAGAAAAACAACATGGAACCAAAGCTGGTTGTCTAGCAGCGACATGCGACAATGTTTTAATATAAAATGTCGGCAATTTACTTATGCAACTAGTATGGGTGTCGTTAAGTGCGGCAAGGTTTTTACGAAATCAAACCAACATTATTCTCTAGACATAGTTCGCAGAGATGGTATTGGAGAGTAATGAGACCACCAGAAGAACGGAGTATTCTCCGCTTACTGTTGCCACCCAGCGTCTGTATACACTCTGGCTTGGGATGAATATTTATTTCGCATTTATTTACTCATTTGATATATTTTATTTATTTTTAATTTGCAATTTCATTGCATTTTTTCATTCAGCTTGTATACTTTGAAATCGATAAGTGCTTAGCCCCGATGTTAACCTTGAGTCACAAATACCACGGGGGAACTGTCGCCTATACATCTTGCAGTTGTGCGAACAGCGATGGTATTTTGATTGAGGCCTGATACTGAAGCGATTAAATAATTATTTTTCACATTTGCTGGCATTATTTTTTGTTACTGCAAATTTCTAAATAACAAAACACAGACCGAGTCGAGTTCAATATCAACCTTGGATATTTTAATCGTTATTCTCATCAACCCGATTTTTTATTGGAGATAATTCTTGCGTCACAGTGTTGTCAACCGTCTATTACATAACGTTGAATGTTATTCATTTAACATGAATTTGTCACTTTTAATTAAATTGCGTCACTTTAAATTTGTCACTTTTAAATTAAAAAGGCGCGGCGGTGTGGCTCAACGGGCTAAGCGTTAGGAATACGCTCGCCACCGCACCTCTAATTACTCTGCGTGGGTTCGCAGGTTCGAATCCCATGCAGGGATGGTTATGTGCGAGAGGATTGCTGGACTCCTCGCCGTCGTTGGGTGGTTCACGTAACCGCTGGTCGGTTACGGCTTCCTCCACCACCAAGTCCATGCTTCCGAAAACAAACAATACAGTAAAAACTAATCCCATACCCGACTTGGAATGGTAACCGGACGAGAGGCCGTGGTTCGCCATATGGATAAGCCGTCTTATCGGCTTTCCTCTCCCCAGGGATAAATATGTAAATCCTATCCTATGGACCTTTCCCCGACCTTTGACCTTTATTGTTTTGATTTTGGTCGCTCAGACAAACATTGCAAATATTCAGGCTTGCGTAGGGCGATAGAGTGGTACGTTGCTCGTTTTAAAGCCTTCGAATGGCATTTCACTGCTGATGGCGGTATTTTCGTGCTTCTGAAGTTATAACATATTGTCAAGTGATCTATTATTAACGTTATTCCGCCTTCAAATTGCCGTTACCGTACCTGACTCAGTTCCAAAAGCCTATTTAACATACAAAAATGGAATCACTCAGAGATGACTTTTCTATGGAGTTGATTCTCCAAGAACTTTTCTTTCCATCAGCTGGAGAAGGATACAAAACTTTTCATTGAAAGGTGATATTCAAACTTATATGGTTGAAGAATGGCAGAAGACTGAGAGACCTGCGTGACTACCGGTACCGTATCCCATGGTTCATGGACTAATAGTTAGCGTCCAAGTTAGAACTGAACAAGTTAGAAATTTGTGGGTTTAGTATAGGATAGGATTTACATGTTTATCCCGGGGAAGAGGAAAGCCGATAAGACGGCTTATCCATATGGCGAACCACGCCCTCTCGTCCGGTTACCATTCCAAGTCGGGTATGGGATTAGTTATATTGTTTGTTTTCGGAAGCATGGACTTGGTGGTGGAGGAGGCCGTAACCGACCAGCGGTTACGTGAACCACCCAACGACGGCGAGGAGTCCAGCAATCCTCTCGCACATAACCATCCCTGCATGAGATTCGAACCTGCGAACCCATGCAGAGTAATTAGAGGTGCGGTGCCGAGCGTATTCCTAATGCTGAGCCCGTTGAGCCACACCGCCGCGCCGGTGAAACAAATGAAATGCAGGGGCAGTTTCAATGTTTTAAATACATTTTCTAGAAACATTG